CTTGGCCCATATCTGGACTTGATAATCTGACATATATATAAATATATATGCGAGCGCATTATTGCCAATGTGATATGTGACAATTATCTAACGCGCGAACTTGTTTTGTTTTTTTTTATTTTCTACTCGGAACATGTGAACGTAAATAAAAGTGCTTCTCTTCCATTCAAAAAAGAAATTCGTAATTTAGCGATAATAAATAAATTGAATTTTCGTAAATATTCGGACTTGCGAATGTGTGATTAGAATTGACATTCAAACGGGTTGCTTTTGAAAAAATTATAAAAACAACCATCATTTGAAATTAGACCGTGGCAAGTGAATGAAGCAAAATAAAAAGTTCTATGAAAAAGAATTTGAAAAAAAGAACTGAATTATAATTAAAACTTTCTTCGTGAAAATTTTACAAAAATTAAATTAATACAATGTTTTATAAACTATATGAATATATTTTGATATTTTTCGTTTTAATTGTCATCAAATTTAAAATCGCAAAATGCTTGCAAACGGTGAGTTGGTGAAAAATTTGAAAAAAAAAAATTAAATAAAATAACGACTGAAGAACTTATTTTCAAATTATTTCGTGAGTGTAATGTATAAATATAATATTGAATATATTATCGATATATTTTTCTAAGACCAATAACATTAAAAAAAGTGCAAATAAAAACATCCTTTTGGCAAAAAAATCAACACGAATTATTAAAAAAAACTTAAAAAAACGTATGTAAAATTAATTGGACTTTTGGTGAAAGAGAAACGTTTGGATATTTTATACTTAATACTTAACTCTATTAATACTTAACCGAGTAGTTTTAGCAGATTTGACTGAAACTTTATTTTTTGTTTGGTGTATATAACAATTATATTTTATATTAATACAAATGTGTTCAGGATTTGTATCAATCTGATTTTCTATGTTTTTAATGGATCGAATATTCATTGGACTTTTTTAATAATTAAATAAATTTAGTTAAACCAATTCGACATTAAAAGGTAAGCTTTTAGATTCCAGATTATGACAAGAGAACAACATAATTTTGAAAAAAAAAATGACTTTATTTTAATAAATTATAGATGGATGATCGAACTTGAAGTCAATATTTGTATTTTTTATTAATTTTAAATATTTCGTAGTTAATTGAATTTCATCAATTAATTTCAAAATATTACAACAATAAATACAAATACTGACCTCAAATACCTTCTTATAATTTATTATCATTCGAAAGGTCAAAAATCATAAAAATAATTATTTTACATTTCAAAAATGGACAAAATTATTAATAGAGCCATAATTAGAAATTTCTGATCTAGTTTTATTAAAAATTTGACAAATTTTCTGATGTCATCAAAGCCCTACGGTTAGCAGTGTATTCTTCTTGGAAGATTCTGGAAGATAACACGTATAATTTATTTGATTTGACTTGTAAATGAAGTTTTTAATACCAATTTTGTCCCATTTAAAGTAATCTTCCTTGTAATTTTTCAAGATTTTAAATGGGCTGGTAAATCAATACTAATGCTTGTGGAGGTTTGTAACTTTGAACATATATAATTGAAGATTTAAAAGAGAAGAAAAATAATTTACAAAAAAAATTTGTTATTGTTTTGTTGTTGTTTTTTGTAATTAAAGAAAAGTCCTTATTTTTGATGGCGGGCATGATAACTCCTCACTGGAACATCGGAATCCGAAAATTCCAACGGTGTTAATTAATATATAGACTTCGCTCTAAAATTAACAAAATGGTGGACCTTTGAAAAAATATTTTTGGAAAATCGCCGATTTTTTACCAAAAACCAAGTTAAAAAATAAGGAAGATCTTCACCGATTGGCTTTATCCTAGTTCATACGAGAGCTATACACTCCCAGAGAAAAGTTGCAAAATTTGGAACCGATTGGATTATTAGTTTTTGAGTTATCGTGCCCGCCATTCGCAAAAAAATGTTTAGAGAAAAACTCGTTTAAAGTTTAAGAAGCCCTTCAGTCGTCACTTGATGTTGACACAATAAATCGGATATATCTTCAAGAGTTCTTGAGATTTTCACTTGAAATTTTGTAGGAACATTGTTTAATTAGTGTAGATTCGAATTATATCAACAACAATTTTGACCCCGAGAATGGAGGGGGGTCCCCTTAATGTAATCTTCCTTAGATACAATTCACTTATGCCAGCATTGTTGCCCATACTCGAAACACTGTTTCGATTTAGCTTTGACCAAAAATTCAGGCACAGGCAATGTGTGAGATAGACCGTTATCATGGTGCAAAATCCATAATTAGGGTTTCCAAAATGCTGTTATATTTGACGAATTGCTTCTCACACAACTTCACGGTAGGATTATTCTTTATTGCCCTTACGATCTTGGTCATCTTCTCGGTCTTCCTTAGACTGAACGTGTGTTCTTCTCATAGCAGACTCACCAAAGGTCACACTCAACTTTTCAAATGTCCTTGCACATTTAATTACATTGTTTGTACTTTAGACTTATGGTAATTATTAGACCCTATATTCAGTAAGAATATCGGTACTCTCCTTCTGGTACCTCGTCCGAAAATAAATTTAAAATATAATTTGAACAGAGAATCCATTTTGAACGAAACGTTGTACAATCTAATATTCTGGTAACTCTCCTATAAAATGCTCAGATGTATGCTGAAAGCAAGTAATCGCGTCGTTAAGTTTGTGAATCTATATCGAAGAAAATTGTTGTCAAACGAAATTATACACATTAAAATCGACAAATGCCGAATTAAAGCCATTTCGGTTGCAATAGCTTCTTCACAATAACAACCAGTAAAGAAAGTTCCAAATTTGGATGGGATTTGCGTGAACTCAGAAGAAAATATAGAGCGGTTATATCTAAATCTGCATACATTTAAAAAATCCGATACATGTTATACTAGGTTCAATTTGGTACGTTGTGCACAAATTCGTCCCAATCGGAAAACTAAAATTTGAAAAAGATGAAATGCGATGAAAATATATATGGAAGCTATATTTAAACCAGAACTGACGAAAAACATAGGCAGCTCTGTACACAAAATTTAACACACTAAATTCATTCTAGACTAAATTCAATATGCTAAATTAAATATCGTGCAAATCGAACAGGATCTATGATGTACCATTAAAATAAAATCAGACAATAGGGAGCTATATTCAAATCTGAATCGATTTTTACAAACTTAATGCACATTACACTAAACACCAGTCAATACCCTCTGCCATACTTCGTGTATACCAAAAAAAAAAAAAAAATGACTCTTTGGTGCACTATTTACATCGAATCGGACGAAAAAATATATTTAAGATATTTCTAAATCTGAACCGATTTCAACAAAATATAACACACAACATTCAATACTCAATTCAATACGCTATGCAGAATGGCGTACCAATCGGGAAAATCAGTGGGGTTCGGTGCACCATTAATATAAAATGGGACGAAAATATATATGGGAGCTATATTTAAATCAACATAACTTCGCATACATCTATCTGGGCCTAATTCATTTCGCTGTGCAATGTTTTGTCCCAATCAGATAAATATTAGGAGTTTGGCGCATCATTTACCTAAAATCGGCAAAAAATATATATGCGATCTGTATCTAAATCTGAAACGATTTTCTCCAATTTCAATTAGTTAATGTGGTTAATACGGTCTCTGACAGATATTTTGAGGAGTTACAAATGTAATGGGTTGGTGGTCTATTTTTGGTGGACCTATGGAGAATTTACTGTGCCAAGGAATTTCGAAAAATCCGCTTACATCCGACACAGGATCCAACACAAATTTGTAAGTCGATTTCATCAGCGTTAAATTTGAGTTCTCTTTGCAAAATTTTTGGAACTTTTGTGATTATGTTGAAGATAAACAACTATGCCAATGGACTAAAGGCTTTATTGTTTAAGTTTTTTTTTTCAAATCGTTCTAAAGAATAACATTTTCATTCTATGACGTATATATTTTCCCCAAGAAGTTGCCCAAATCTGAATTAAGATATTTTGTACTTTATTCTCGGTTTCCAAAAATCATTTTTTTCTTTTTATTTTATTATATAACACTCTACCTTAAACGAACTTTTTGCCAAAAAATTGGGTTCATGGCCCATAGTGCGGAAATTATGCCCGTCGTTGAGAAGAAGGACTTTTCGTTAATTACATGTCTTCAATACAATGCCAGTCCATTTGTCAGCCACTTGAAAATCATAAAAATTTTATTAAATCGGACTCATCTCCGCTTATTGGATTTCTTATAATTTTTATTACAAACATATTGATATACGATGATCTGACAGACATAGAGTAGCCTGAACAATTGAGTACCTATTGCACTTTAAACTTTTAAGCAAAAAAAAAATATTTTACGACATATATCTTTACTACGGGCAGCTAATTGCCAAAGTAATTACCGATAAAAGAAGATAGCACTTTCGGCAAAATTGAAATTTATCGGCAAATTACCAAATTCTGATAAGTATTTGATATATTGACAGGGTATTATGCGGAAAAATGTTGGTCATAATTGTGTTATCATTTAATGTAGCGAAAATCTGTGTCGAATTTTTTATGGAGCTAAGGAATTATGTACATAATTGGAGTACAGCCGAATTTTCATAAGTCGAATTTTGTTTAAGACAGTAGCACCAAGGACACAAATTATAATAAATCCATAACTCGAAGTCACTCTAAGAAGTCACTGGGGTAATGGTGGTTCGAGCTATGTAAGTTCGTTCTCTTCTAGTCTCTTTCAAATAGAGGAAATATAAACTCTATGAACTAGATTACCCAATACTATTACATATGTACATACAAATAGAAAAAATGGGATTTAATATATGGGTAAAATAATAATAATAATAATATTGTGCTCTTAAAAATAGTATATCTATATTTAACGTGGTCTTAGAAAAATACTACGAAGTGTTATAAAAAAATAATAATAATATTCTTTTGAAATCAGTATGTAATGGACCATTTATTTTTTTATTTCAGGAACATTACATTCTTGAACGTGAATATCCCCTGGAAAGACATCGCATAAAAACCGAAGATGGTTATATATTAACGGTACACCGGATACCACACTCACCGGAACATTCACCACACACGCTGCACCATGAATTCCTGCATCACACCACACCAGGCGACAACCGTTATTTGCCAAGTCGCAAACCTGTTATTCTATTACAACATGGTTTTGGTCTTAGCTCTGAAGGTTGGGTATTGCCAGACCGTGAAATTGCCTTAGCCTATCAATTGGCCGATGCCGGTTTTGATGTTTGGCTGGGAAATCAACGTGGAAATTCCTACTCACGACAACACACCCATTTTGACACGAAAACGGATAATTTTTGGAATTTCTCATTCCATGAAATTGGTTATTATGATTTGGCGGCCGTGTTCGATTATATGTTGGCGAAAACAAATAATACTGCTGTACATTATGTTGGCTATTCCCAGGGTACAACATGTTTGTTGGTATTGTTGGCATCGAGACCGGAATATCGTGAAAAAGTGAAATCGGCACATTTATTGGCACCGGTAGCATTTATGAAAAATATGAAGGTGCCATTTATCCAATGGGCAAGTGAGAAGATTTTGCATTATGGTGAAATGTTGGTGAATTCGTTAGGCCACAATGGAGTTATGAGGTTTCATCATTTGCCTTTTTATCGCACCCTGTGCAGTTGGGCATGTGGTGAGGGATCACATTTGCAAAATGTTTGTCGCACGGTATTTGCATATTTTGGTGGACCCGGCATGAGCAATATTAAACAGGTAAGGTGATTTTTTAAATGATTTTTAAATTATAGAAAGGGTGAGAAGTGGAAAATGTGTCAGGTTCGGGATATCAAAGGCTACATCTATTCGAGGGACATTTTAAATTGCGGTGTTCTGTGTTCTTTTTTAATGGGGTGTGTTATTTATTTCTCCTTTGCAGGAGGTCTTTAATGTAAATTTAAATACTAACAGATCTTTAAAATATAGTTTACCAGCATATAGCGTTATATTTAAGATATACCGAAAAATTGGCCTGTATTGATAACACTGTAAGGCAAAATCGGCGTCATGGTCTGGGGGTGGAAAATTCCTATTGGGGGGTAAAATGCCTATAAGAAAACCCCCGAATAAAAAATTATACTTCAATTATCACAAGATGTGATTTTTCATCTTCGCAGTGTTCTACGAAAATGTTGCTCATAAGATTTTAGGTGTGGCCCCCGAAGAACAGAAATTGGTATTTTAACGTTTTAATGGTTTTTCCCCTATTTTATCAGTGCCATGTTACTAAAACCCGATATGTATTTCTATATATTCAGCAAAAATTCTTTATTATTTCGGATTTGTCCCATATATTCACTAAAAATATATAAAATAAGGCCAAATAAACGACAAGAACTAATTTCGTGGAAGAAAGCACCGGGTTTCGTATTTTTTGAACCGTATATTCAGATAATGAAACCGATAATAGCCCGGTTCAATAAATTTAGCCCCTTTGTTTATTAGTTTTCCAATGTTGCGCATATAAAAGATTTAAACCCGGTTTTATTACCTAAAATCCGGTTCAACAATTTCGTAAACCGATTATTTCTTCCTCGAAACTAGTTTTATAAATTGTTTAATCCATCTTACTATATAAGGTATTAAAACCGCTTTTATTATCTGAGTATTCGGTTCAAAAATGTAGAAACCCGGTTCTTTTTTCATTGAATTATTTTTTTGGCTTATTTTGGCCTAACTAACTATATATGGTATTAAAACCCGTTTTTTATCAGAATATCCGGTTCAAAAAATTTAAAACCGTTACTTTCTTCCTCGAAATTAGTTTTTTTTTTGCTTATTTGACCTAGCTATCTGGGTCCGATCTCCTCCTCAGGGTTATTGGTGATAAATATGTCGGATTAGCCAAAGAAAAACGGGACAAATTTGATCGCCGCACGAACCCCGTCCGTAAAAAAAACATACTTAGATCGGATGAAGGTTTTGCTTACTGTTGTCTCTGATAGCAGGGTCGTGGAACATCGACGTGGAATCTTAAATATTATGTTATGAACAAAGCACTTAATTTTGGTGTCCCAGGATTGAATAGGCCTTTGGAAGGAAAATGCCATGGAAATATAATAAATACTGCAACGGAAATCTGAACTTTGTTCAAAATTCGGCACACTTTTTGTCAGTTTTTGGTATTTCAAGACTGAAGAGGTCTGTGGAAGAAGAACGGGATACTATTTCAATAAGCATCGGATATACTTCAGCTTCCGAATCACCCAAGCTTGATCCATTGTTACCTGTTTGTTCCAACAATATCAATGTCAAAGTCAGAGGTCATGTGCAGAATGTATTCACGCATTCAAAATCGACATACGAGCTACCGATTATCATAATTAGAATTCCGGCGTTTTTTTTGTGTCCCAAACTAATACCATAAAAACTACCTAAATAGAGTATTCGCACAAAAATATTAATACGTTTCTCTTTCATATTTATATAGAATATGGGTTCTATTCTGTTTTGTCCGACAAATTCGTTAAATAAGGTCTTTAATATAAATCAGATCGTCAAGTGGATATACATGTATGCGTATAGGTGTTGACATTATGTATACGCCCAGATAAACGTTGAACACTTTTTCCAGATAAATCCTGAGGCAAAGTAGCATGGCCAATTTAGATTATTTTTACTTCACGAAGAACCTAATTATAATTCAAAACTCCCGTCAAAATAAAATAGGCCGGTGTAATAAAAATCAGTGCGTTAAGTGCTATAGCTTAACCTATAATAGTTCTAAATTGAATTTAATGCGTATACGTGTTGTCAGCATGTGTACTTCTAAATGCACGTACACTTTTTCCTACCTAATATGAATGTATTTATAAACCAGTGAACGGAGCAGTATAGTCGGACGGGGCCGACCATATGATGCCCTACACAACTTCCATGAGCATCTAACTTTCTGTGGTACTACATTCTGAGCTTGGGCAATATTTCACGAAGTTTTGCACCCTCTTCCTTAAGTTTTCGGTCCACTTCATCCCAAAATTATTATCTGATCATCACCGAAAATTATAGGCGTTGTCCTTGACCGTAACTGGAACAACATGGAACACTTCAAAGCGATCACCGCTACATTTCCGCCCTCTAGTGTAGTAATGGGTTACTAACTAAAATCTAATTACGTAAGCACCAGTAAATATTTAAGTGTAACTTCCACTTCCGAGTACATACGACAATAAAATTGGTATCAATTTAAAAGTCAAGCACTTCTCTTGGGTATAATATCAAAATCTCGAGTCTATGTCCTTCAGGGGTAAATCTATACGCTATAGGATACAATTTTTGTCATTTTGCACACAAAAGTCAGGGTCCATTTGACCCGCTATATATTGACCGATCCTTACCAAGACAGGCATGCTTATACTTTGGCCCTATCCCCTTCTCCATGCAAAAATTCGCGGTGTTTGGGCCATAATTGCGGCCTCTGGAGCGACAAGAAAAACCGTTGCATGTAGGATTCGTGAAGATTGGTTCATAACTGTGGCCTGTATCGTGTTTACAAATTATAATGTACAGACGGACGGACACACGTGTCTAGATCGACTCAGCTAGTCGAGATTGACGATTGGTATACTTAATTTAATCAATTGACAATAGTGTGTGTACGTATTGTCAACATGTATACGCGTAGATGTACTTAAACCTGTTTAACCCTCAAATGTATTCCAAATTATTCAACATATTACAATAAAAGTAAACTACTTCCATCAAACCACCACTAATAACAAAAATTTCCTCCATTCTCCTTTCAGTCAGTGCTCTCGGATGTTTGTGCCGCCCAACCGGCTGGTGCCTCCATCAAACAAATCCTCCACTTTATACAAGTCTATGTTAAGGGTAAATTCCAACAATACGACTATGGCCGGCAATACAATGAAGTGCATTACAAACAATCTACCCCGCCCGCCTATGATATTAGCAGCATTACGAATTGTGTCCATCTGTATTATGGTGTAACCGATCATTTGGCCGACGGCGAAGATGTCCAGAGATTAGCGAAACGTTTGCCCTGTGCCATCGTTCAGTCCATAAGCGATGATGATGATAAATGGAATCATTACGATTTCTTGTGGTCCAAAGATGCTAAGGAGTTAATAAATGAACGTATTATACGGGTGGTGAGGGAAAGTGAAAATAAATAGACCGGCTTGGCCTATTTGGTGATATTATTGTGTATTTTTAAGCATACCATGTAGAAGTATTTTATTTTTCGGACTGATATCTTTAAGTTTTTTTTTTTACATTTTAAGTTGTTTGTTAGATAAATAAATGTGTTCTCTATTTTTTGTAAATAATCTAAATTACGTGATGTTGTAATGACCTTGTTTTTTTTCTGGGTGAAAGGATAAAAAACCAGCTGCCTGTCTGATTATGTGGTTTTATACAAAACGTGGTGTGTGTGTTTTTTGTTGTTGTTGTTTTATTGCAAAAAAGTGGTGTTCTCAGCATGCATCTCATAACCTTGAGTTTATAAATCAAAATCAAGTTCTTGTTACCGAAGAGAAGAAAAAACTGCTTACACATAATACGCTTCACTTTTCAACAAAATATATTAGACAGTGGTTTGTAAGGGAATAATGTTGAGGAATTTTATTTATAACATTATGCGATAAAATTGAGCTCATGGCCAGGGGTTGGGAAGTGGATTTTTTTTGATGAATGCTCTTGGTAAGTATATTAAGATCCGAGAAGAACAAATTCGCCATAGGTCTAGTTTCGATTCGACATGTCTTCAGTCAAATCGAAGGGGACAAATACAAATAACGCTTTGTAATTTTCTTTGTTAGAGTTCTAGATAAGGCCCATATCAAACGCTATAACTATGCCAGCCGAAAATGGTATGTATACCATGATGTACTATAGAATTAAGTGTATAATTTTTGGTTTAATTCTGTTTAAAGTTTCATATGAGATCCATTATTAACATCAATTTTACCTTCAGTCTTGTGGCTATAGCCTCATTAGCTATAAGACTGAAGGTACATTGCTACAGAAAAATATGCGAAATTTCTTAGGACTAAATTCGTTTCAAACAATTTAAAGTGATTTTACACATGCCCATTCGTCTGGCTGTTTGGTCAACCTTATTTTGGTTCAAAATGCGCACATCGTAGTATGTCTATAAATCATGTCGGAAAATGGAATCCATTGTTGAAATATCAAATCGTAATATTATTACCAACTTCAGATCAGCACTGGAGGTGGGACATATCGTTCAACTCCTTTTAGTAGTGTATAGGATTTGTGCATAGTACGTACGTATGTCATACGCTGGGGTATATATCTATTGGCACCACTGACTGGCACATTTTTATTTCTTTTGTATGACATTTAATATGAATCTATTAAGAGCACCTCCTGGATACATCATAATTGGTAATTTCATAGTCGTTCCGATTTTTTCTATTCTCGCTGGCTTTTTCTTTAATAAACTTATTTAAATGTCCGCCTGTCTGTAGAAATCGGGGGAAAGCTCGCAATATTTAAGATAACTGTAGATAAATTGATAATACTCGTAGGATGTATGATTTAATATTGTGCGCATATTAAGGTACCCCTAAATGTTCGGTATTTTGGTTAAACCAATCGAAATGCCTGTGCTTTGAGTAACAAATCTTCTTACTACCAATATTTAAGTTCGGCTTGGCAACCATGAGGATGACATTCAAAATATGTAAAATTAATGGGGGCTCCTAGGAGAAAACTCATGATAGGACCTCGAATATACCGAAAAAGCCGTGAAAAAAAAGATGATTGCCTTATAGGGAGCCTAGCGTTTTATGGAGGTATACCAAAACGGGAATTTATATTTATTAATTTGGGTTGTGGAATTTTAAGAATACAAATTTCAGCCAATTCGGTTGAAAAACGTGTCCAATATCCTAAAATACCGAATATTTGGGTGTTACCGTTATACGGAGGCTACCCGTAAACTTGGGTCAATATTAATAATGATTGGTAGATTGATGAGCTATACAATAATAGTTCAAAATACCTAATTACAGCCAATTCGGTTGAAATATGTGTCGAAAATGGCCTAAATACCGAATATTGGGGGGATACCGTTCTATGGGAGCTACCCGGATACATTGGTCAATATTAACAATTTTTAGTATGGAAATTTTCTACGCAATGATAATTCAAAATACAAACAACTACATCCAATTCCATTCAAAAACGAAGCGAAAAACGCCCAGTAGAACGAATACACAGTTTAACGAATGCGGGATATAACGAATGAGCAAAATAGTCGACTTTTTACACTGACTATCACATATAACGAAATTTGTCCTATATACTGGATACATGGCAGAAGGTAGTCTTATTTGAGAATTTTATGATGGCGACCCTTTTTAATTTGGAACTCATTTATGGAACTCATTTATCAATTTGAAATAATATGAAAAACACATTCCATAAATATGTCGATTGACATATTTTCAATAAATTAAAAAAAATAAATAAATTTATTTTTTCGAAAAATTGAAAGCATGTATGGGAAATTACAAAAATCTTTTAAATTCCTTGAAACTGAGGTTTGCAAGGTTATAACTCGCGAAATATGAACATATTGCATATAATTTAAATTCATTTCTATAAAATGAAGTGTTCTTTTAAAATATTGGTAAAAATATTGTTAAAATATTGGTAATAAATAATATGTTGCGTGGAAGCTGTGATTGTGGTAATGTAAAAAATGGGTGAAAATGTGTTGAAGCCAACGAGTTTTTTGTGTTCCTTCCTGATTTGTGGCTAAACTACACAACGCACGCACATGTGATGAGTGACTAATTTGCAGAATACCCCATGGACAATATGGTTCTAATGTATGATTTTTCGATATAATCACTGCATCCACCCAAAATGGATGCTGACATTTTGAAGCCGGATTTTCGGTGTTTTTTGTATTTTTCTTATAATAAGGATGCGCATCCAGATAATGGACTAAAACAATTATAGGATTGTAGAACTCGTGATTTTGCTTCGTTTAGTGTATATTTCATGAATGTGCCCACCGTAGCTTCTTTGCAATTGGGTTCCAAAGACGAACATTTGGTGCGTAAATTTTTATAAAAAACATATTTTTTGAGTCTAAAATTAAGAAAGTCCATTCAAATTCCTTGAAAGCCCGCGTGATTTTAGTTTTTTTTTACGTGCCGGATCTAATGAGCCCATCCATGTTCTATTCCGCCCATACAACGGCGGATATAAGTACATTGAATGTGGGAAAAACTGCAAAAAATTATTTTGACAAATTCGCGTATATAAACGCGTTTTTCTTCGAATTCGCGAATCTGTGTGAAAATATGTGAAAAATATATCGATACGCGAATAATATGCGTATTTTATCCAAAATCGATTGTGGAGGCACATCCGCGGTTCATAACCGATCCTTTTAAAATAGGTGTCCTTTTGTGTATTTTCATAGGAGATTACTGAACTCGGATGCACATAAAAATCGTATGCACATTGCGCCATTTTTAGACATTTTTAGGGTTTTTGCATAGTAAAGTGCATCGAGCGGCACACTTTGGCCGCTTAATGAAACCTCGAAAAGTGCATAATTATTGGAAGAGATTTATTTGGTTTATACAAAAACCGCATGCGCATCAACTGATTTCAACTAATACGCGAACTGTATGATTTTTAACGTTGCTCATTTTCATATACTGCAACTGCAATATATTTGGTCATTTTTAAAGTCGAAACTCTTAACAGAGGAATCTACCGATATTTAACAATCACCTAAAAGAGTTTGTAGAAGAAATCGTCAGGTGTTGTAGAAGATCTAGACTAACCCGTGTTATCTTAAACATACCAAAAAATACAAAATTGAAAAAAAAACATTTTGTGGCAATTCAAAAAATTAATTTATTTTATTTTCAGATATTTTCATGCTTTTATTTGTTTTTCGCGACTATTAAACCGTATTTCTATGTGATTGACTAGTTCTACAAAGAAAACTAATGTGTTTAACCATTTGTGAAGAAATTCGCGAATTACAACAAATAGGAATTAATTTATATTTGAAATATAAGATTTAAAACCGCTATGACTTTTGTGCGCAGCATCCGAATTTGTGAACGCGAACAGATTTTGAATCAGCATATTTTCCTTAACCTATGTACCAAAAATCATGAATGTGCTCGCAATTTTTTTTTATGGAATTTTAAAGGAATTTGTAATTTCCCATATATATCTATATCTATATATGGGCAATATTGCCAATTTTTTAATATTCCATTTTCAAAAAATCATCTTTTTTGTTTTTGTGGCACATCAATGATTTTTGGTACACATATAGAGAAAAATGTTCTGACTCCGAAACCGTTCGCGATCAATTTTTTGGTTGATGCGCGCAAAAGTTATCGAGGTTTTAATTTTCGGCATAAGAAAAAAAATCTTAAAATTACGCCGTTTATTATATTGACGAAAAACGTTGATATATATCTTCCTCCGTAAAATAAGAATATGAATATATTATAATAATCACGATAAAGTTGCACATATTCGCGAAATATGAGAAAAATAAAAAATATATAGCAGATTACATCAATATTTTCATTATATTAATTACATACACACACCTAAAAATTAATTTAAAAATATCTACATAATCTAAACACCATGATGAATCAAACGATGTCAAAATCACACAAGTTCGTGTAGCGGTTTCTAAATCACAGCGACAACAAAACAAGATATTGAGGAAAAATATTTGTTTTTGGTTCGAAAAAATAATGTCATCATATTTATTTTTTTAATTTTATACAAGAAATTTCAGAAAAAAATGTTGGGGTTATTCTGCTATTTTACCCGAATTTCGCCGCAAAATTTTACATATATAATAATAATCACTTTTTGTGTATAAGTATACGCCTTGCGGATTATATCAAGACCCTTCCGATAAATCTTAGAATTCTATAAATAGGAATAAATCTTAAAAAAAAATACTATTATGGAATATACATTTTAAATTGTGTGTAAATCGCGTAATTCTCAAAATCATTTGATGCGCATGCGGTTTCCAGGAAGTACTGAAGTTCATCTTCCAATCCATATATATTTTGCGAAATTTCATTTGACGCCTAAGATGTGCCACACGTTACATTGAATTACCCAAAAAATCGTAAAACGCGAA